TCCCACAGCGCACACTCCCCCGGCGCCGACCCTCCCACAGCGCCCGCCCCCTTCGCCCCCCCCCCCCCAGCACTAACCCTCTGACGGCGCCAACCCTCCCTCAGCACTGAACCCCTCCCTCGGCGCCGACCCTCCCTCAGCACTAACCCTCTGACGGCGCCGACCCTCCCTCAGCACTAACCCTCTGACAGCGCTCCCTCCCTCAGCACTGACCCCTCCCTCGGCGCCGACCCTCCCTCAGCACTAACCCTCTGACGGCGCTCGCTCCCTCGGCGCCGACCCTCACTTTGCTTTGTGTCCAGTGACTGTGTTTATTGGATTCGAATCACTTCCATTAACTGAGACGAACTTATGACTTTGGAGTGTTTTAGTGCACAGAAGGTGGTGCTGTAGAAATGAAAGCCATGCGGTATGAGCAGTGCAGAAGCAGGCCATTCGGCCCAGCATATTATTGCTGCCAACACTACCCAGCCTGCGTTTGTATTTTTTCCCCCTTAGATCTTCCGGGGAAAGGACGTCACTCTGTTGTATTCGCAGCTGAAGATCTTCTTCAACGAGGTGACGTGCGCGAAGCCCCGGAGCAGCCGAAATTCCAGCATCGGTAAAGAGTTTGCTTTGCGCTGGCTGGGGTCGGGAGCTGTCATCTGGAGCTCAGTCACTTCGCTTTGCAGGTTTAAATCCAGGCCGGGCTGGCGAGATTCTGGTGGCTGACTGTTGTTCTGTTTTTCTCTCGTCCCTTCTCCAGAAGCGTTTGTGGTGTGTCGCGGTTACTCCCCACCCAAGGGCTACGTTCCCAACATGTCTAACCCCCTGCTCGACCACTGCTACGGTAAGGATCCCAGCTCCTGGAACACCCTCCCTCAATCTCTTCCTCCATCCCCATCCCCATCCCCATCCCACCCCTCGTTTGTTTAAGACGCTCCTTATAGAATCTTCCCAAACACCACAACCTACATTAGTCTTTGTTTCAGGATGCAGATGCTTGAATCTGGACTGAAAACGACAAAAAAAATTGGTGGAGATCACAGGGTCAGGCAGCGTCCGCGGAGAGAGAGCAAGCTAACGTTTCAAGTGTTGATAACTCTTCATCAGAACTAGTCTTTGTTTCATTCACTTGTGGGATGTGTGCTGTGCTGGTCCCAGCATTTATTGCCCCCGTCCCTAGTTGCCCCCCCCAGAGAAGGTGGGGGTGAGCTGCCTTTTTGAACCACTGCAGTCGCCGTGCTGTGGGTAGATACAGTGTCCCTTAGGGAGGGAATTCCAGGATTCTATCCCAGTGACACTGAAGGAACGGCCGAAATATTTCCAAGTCAGGCTGGGGATCTTGGTGGGGAGGGGGGTGTTCCCACGTAGCCGCTGCCCCCTGTCCTTCGAGATGGAAGCTGGACTGTTAATCCAGAGACCCAGGTAACGTTCTGGGGACCTGGGTTCGAATCCTGCCACAGCAGATGGTGGAATTTGAATTCAATAAATATCTGGCATTAAGAGTCTAATGACGAACCGTGAATCCATTGTCGACTGTCAGGGGAAAAAAAGCCCATCCGGTTCTGAGGAAGGGTCCCCGGACCCGAAACGTTAACCATGAGTTTTTTTTTCTCCCTCACTGACGCTGCCAGACCTGCTGAGCTTTTCCAGCAACTTCTGTTTTTGTGCCACCTGGTTTACTAATGTGTTTTTGTTTTAGGGGAAGGAAACTGCCATCCTTGCCTGGCTCTGGCCTACGTGTGACTCCAGACCCACTCTCAACTGGGCAATTAGGGATGGGGCAATAAATGCTGCCTAAGCCAGCCTCGCCCCCGTCCCGTGAATGAATAAAGCGGCTTTAAGTTTGTTGTTGTTTCCCCCCGCCTTGTTGCGTGGGATTATATTTTAAAAAAAAGACTGACACTCTCCTTCCTGTCTGTAGATGTGGACTTTAACCAGCTGGAAGGCCCTAACAGGCTGATTGTACCATTCCTTGCCTGTGGTGACCTGAGTGCATACGACTCTGACAAGACCTACCCCTTACAGGTGAGAATCCCAGCGTCGCTGTCCCGAAGACGGGGCGCACGTTTCGCTCGGCCGCGATCTCGCACGTTGGCCAACTCCCATTGGGCTTCGGTCAGTGACACGGTCCTCTGTCTTCTCCTCTTCGTCCCCATTCCTTGTAGCTGGAACCAGGCAAGGAGTACATGTACACCCCTCCCGCCCAGCCTCCGATCCGGCCTCCCTATCAGGAAGCGTGCTTCTTGAAGAGGAACAACTTGCTCGCCAGGGAGCAAGCCCCCTGCCCCAAGGACAGAGCCGGGATGCCACCTGCGGTGCCCAGCGAAGAGCCCGAGGCAGAGCAGAGAGACGTCGCCGGGGCATTCGGAGGCCTCTCATTGTCTGAGGACCGGTGAGATCCCCAAATCCCGGAGCGACTTCGAACCTCGTGCGTGTGGTTTTTTTTTCTAATTTTTATTAAAAGGAAAGAGGCTTGTCTATAATAAAGGAGGGTAACAAAAAGGTGCAGTGTTGTCGCAGTGATTGGTCGACAGGAAAGAGCCAGGTAATGTCACCGAATTAATAACACAGAAGATCCTGTGCTGTTTGGGTCGAACGTTTGTAAAACACTTGGTCTAACGTGCCCCACCCTGGGCGCCCCCAGGAGAGATCGCACAAGCCCGTGGGCTGCACTCTCTCGAAAGGAAACCAAGCGGAAGTGGCGATCTTTAGTATAATTAATAAAGGGAGAATGTTTCCACTTGGGCGGAGGGTGGGGATACCAGAATGAGGGGGGAGCGTCGATACCAGAAGGATGCAAATAACCTCAATCGGGGAGGGGAAATGGCGGTGCGGTGGCTCAGCAGTTAGCACTGCTGCCTCATGGCGCCAGGGACCTGGGTTTGATTCCACCCTCAGGCAACTGTGTGCAGGTTGCATATTCTCCCTGTGCCTGTGTGGGTTTCCTCTGGGTGCTCCGGTTTCCTCCCACAGTCGGAAGACGTGCAGGTTACTGTGCATTAGCTACGCTAAATTGTCCCGTAGTGCCCAGGGATGTGCGGATTAGGGTGGATTGGCCGTGCTAAATTGTCCCGTAGTGCCCAGGGATGTGCGGGTTAGGGTGGATTGGCCATGGGAAAGGCAGGGTTACAGGGATAGGGTGAGGGGGTGCGGGAGGTTTGGGTGGCATGCTTTCTCAGAGGGTTAGTGTGGACCTGATGGGCCGAATGGCCTGTTTCCACGCTGTAGGGATTCTGTGTTTGTGTGGCTAACCTCAGGTTGGGGTTGGGGTTGGGGGTGCTGTGGTTTACTCACTCCCACAGGGTGAGGCCAAAGGAAATTGTGTCGCTGTGTTTAAGGGTCGGGGAACAACCTGAGATGGAGACGAAGCGAGGGAGATTGGAAACAACGGCCTGTGTCATGATTTGTCTGTAAACGCAAATACGCCCATCCCTCACGCTGTGGCAGACCAACCACAATCAAGAGAGCGGCTGTGATGCCTTGTGCAGCCGAAAAGCTCCACACTGACTAACACACAAAAGAGGGGAAGCACATTTCCACAAAGCGGGGAGACAATGAAGAGCCTGCAGCTAGTGTTATATAATTTAATGCGGGTTATTAAATATGGAACAGGCTACATTACAAAACCTTTCTGACAAGCAGCCAGCACATGACAGTACGGTACCCAGCGTGGGCAGAGCAAACCCTGAGAATCCACTCTCCCATCCACTGAAAACACATTACAACACAAAACCAGCAGC